GGGCGGTATTTTTAAAGTGTAAATCCATATAACAAGGTTAAATATGCAATGTCTCTCCCCTTTCCTTTCACAACCAATTTGCTTCTGTTACAAGCTGATTATCAAGGCTCCGGTCTTGCTACACCTTACAAATCAGGCTGCAGTCGTTAGGAAGAGATTCTCCAGTAGAGATAAATCACCTCCTCTGGAGGTACACGTGCCCTCTAAGACCCAATCTTCTCCCAGAAGTTTTCCAAGGGTCCACATGGACTTATGACACTTCCCTGAAACTTGTTCTTGCCCTTTCTTACCCAGAAGGCACACTAATCACACTAATCTTGATTACAGAAAGCCCTGTTCTCACCTTTTCCAGACTGCACTCGTTATTAAACCAGTCTGTACTATCGACCTGTGCAGAAGCAATTGATCAACTGCTGTATATCAGACACAACCTCAGCTGGTTCTAAAATGGATAAAATAACTGTGAGAGACTTTGAAACTCGCTAAAAGCATCACCTGAATCAACCAAGCAGGGTGGCAGCAGTGCTTGCTGACCCAGCTCCAGCGTATTTGCAGCAGAACCCCTGAGGCTACACAAAGCAGGACACCATAACGCGTGGGATGGGAAAAGACTACAAGGCACAGGACAGCAAGACAAAGAAGGCAGAGAATAGCAGGAACCTCCACACTACCAGCCTCAACCCTCACCACCCTGTCTTCTGGTCAGAGGAAGCAGGACAGAGAATGTGTCCTGCAATGAACAAGGGAAGCCATGATCTTAATGTCAATACTTAAAATGTTACCTTAACGTCAATGTTAACTGGGTGGGGTAATACCTAGTGATTCAATTGGTTCTTCCTTTTCATATTCTTAAACATATGAATCAAAGGTCACATATCAAATTCAATTAAGAAATTCGTATTTCTGTTTCACACTGCACAGAGATGAAGCAGCTCTCCTGTAAGGAAGGGGAACTGGCACCATCTTGCATCAAGAAGTGATAAAGCTCTCGCTCCTCCTTTTGTGATTCACCGTGTATGCTCCAGCGTGAAATGAGCCTCACACCAACCTTTATCCCTATCCTACCTGATCTGCTAACCGACATCCTTAGTACAAGCATTTACGTGGGATAAACACACATTGCTCTTCAGTGCTTCTTGACTGAAACCCGATAATAGCAACAAATAAACTTTTCAGGGGCTAGTGACTAATGCTTCCTCTTCCAAAAACCATTCTCCTAGGTCTGTAACAATCCTGAATGGACCAAGAGGTCAAGTCCCTTCTCAAAAGTGCTTCTTTAGGACATTTTGAGAGCAAAATGTGGACAGAACAGGAACAATTCCACAATTTACCAAATTTCAATAAGACTCAGCCCTTCCAGTGAATGAGCAGTGTGCCATTGTATCAAAGGCAGAATTTCACCGTCCATTCCTACATGTAACTTACCTTTGCTTTCTTTCATTCAGCACATGAAACCTGGCATAAAGCATACATGACCTTTCTAGTTACAGTTCTCAGTTGCACCCACAGGAAAAGATGACAGCTGCTTGCAAAATAAACACATAAAACCTACAAAAGAACCAAGAGGACTTACAGGATCAGTCAGTTCTTGCAAGCTCGCTTGGTAGGTGAGAGGTCTACAGTCACGAGTATTATTCACCAAGACACAAGGAAGAAACATTGGTCCCAGATCATCCCCATCAAGCACATCTACTGTCAGGGTGGTTGTACTTGTCCTTCGCTCGTTAAGATTTTGGGCTCGGTCCTGTGGAGCAAATGAGTTACATCTAGTGAGATTTTCTGAATTCAGAATTCACAAAAAAGTTTAAAGTTAAAGCTAAGGGCTAAACAGATAAGCACTATTAATTATCTGGGTTCTAGGAAATAGCTAATTACAGAAACTTCAGCCCCAGACCCACAGCCTTAAAGGCTCAGAAATATAATTAAGAGGTAAAAGTTTACCTCTTGAATTAAGAAATACTGAAAGACATCCATCACTCAGAAATAATAGTTTTGAGAAATTAATTCTCAGGAAATGTGTGAAACAAAGATACATGTCTTGTTAAATCTATAAAAATGCAGCGTATTTGCATAAGATAAGAAGTGCCTCATGCCTTACTTATAATTTGAAATATACTCTTATGCTGTCTTGTGTAGCTCTTCCAAATCCTGCCTAAAATTAAAAGGATTTTCACTTACAGAAATGGAAAGCATAAGCAGCAACTACTTCTTTGCTAACTGGCAGTGGAGACGCCCTGGACTGTAGTGCTCAATCCACCTCTGCACACCATAATTTAAGAAAGATTTAGCACCTCCCTTCCTCCTCACCAAAAAAACCCAAAACAAACAGCCAGAGGACAGCAATGAGATTGATCAAAGATCTCCAAACTGTACTCCACAGGGAAAGCTGATTTGTCTAGAGAATGAGTTATACTGCTCATTTTTTAAAAGGCTGAAGAATATTTCTGTCCATGATAAAGCAGCCACAACGCTGCACCCCAAAAAAGCCTCCATGCTGCATGACGGGTTCTTTTCACTGATCACAGTGTCTATGTTTAGCCTCTACCTGGGCCTAAACTGTAACAGTTGCTCTATCACCCGATGACCCCTCACCAGCCAGAGAGGGGAACTAGGAAAAAGGAGAGCAGACCCATGGGTAGAAGTGAAACAGATTTAATGAAACACCACCAATACCAACAGAGAAGTACACAGTTATACTCAGTCAAATGAATATCCAATTGTCACAATCGACCGGACAGCAGTCCTCAGGAGAAGCCAGAGGAGGTGCAGAAGGAACCTCAGCAGGCACCCCACAGGTGCTCCGTTCCTCAGCAAACCTTCCCCCTTTATAATGACCATGACATTATGCTGTGGGCTACACCTGGAGCTACCCCAGGTCAGCTGCCCTGGCTAACTCCGAACTGCTAACAGCCTGCCTGGCATGGCCAGGCTGGGATTCTGTCTCAGCCAAACCAGGACACATGGTTTGGTGATTTTTCTTCTTTTTTTTTTTTTTACAATCTTTGGATACACAAAATAACATTGAGCATTGCAACTTCTTTATTGCTGCCTCCTTTCTTTCCAGATGGTACAGAATTAAGCTACACTTTCTTGAATTGTAGGAACCACGTTGATTATTTTTATACACTGAACAATGCACACTAGAAACAGTTCACCTTTTCTTTCTTCTTTTGTTATCATAGTGAAGAAACAACATGACTATTCAATATTTTTTTTTAAAAACAGTCAGTAATATTTCCATTTTCACAGAAGAACTGTTATGATAGCTCTTCTTTACAAAAATAAGATCTTGCGGAAGGACTTTGGGCCATTAGCTAAGTCTTGCCCTCCTATCCTAGGATAATATTGACAGAAAAGAAAAAAGCAATTTTTTTAAAGTATTTATGCTGTTTAATATCACCATCTGTGTAAGAAGAATAGGTCATTGCTTTAAATCAGATTGAATAATTTTTTTTTTTCCTATTTTGCAGTGCACTCAGTTCTTGGAACCACTTTACATTTACAGTTACTAAATACAGGAATTTCTGAATCAGCATTCTTTGCGGTCAGTGACGGAAAAACAATACCAGCTACAAGGAGCAGCCTTCATCATCACCTAAACTACTAGATTCCCCCAATATGTGCCTTTGAGTAATACTGGATCAAAGCAGCTATAGAGTAATTCATTTCATGTAGTATCTTCAGGATACAAGAACAACAAACGATCACTCCTAATGCAATCAGTGGACTAGAAGTATGATTGCATAGTACATATAACAGAGAGAAAGAAATGCATTTTGTAAAAAAAAAAAAAAAAAGCATAAGGCAAACTCCTAAAAAAGCTGGGCTAGAGATCTTCATCAGAGCCTTTCTTTGAGATCTAGCTTCTCACCTGTGAGCACTCAAAATTTGAGTGAGCTCAGTTCCCATTTGGGTATGTTTGAGAAAACACATGGCCTTGCAAGACAGTTCAGTCTTGCAAGCTGCCCCGTGATGTACGAACACGACACAGAAGCCCTCAGCACAGCTTTAGTCCCAAACCCAGTACCACAAAGGTGACAATCTGCTGTGTAAGGATGTGTATTGAAGGGAACGAACAGATAACTGTGAGATCACTTTATAGTACTGCCACTGTGCATCCCAAGCTGCGCCTTCACCAGTTGCTCCTACACCGTGACAGGCTTTGCTCCCCACGTGAGGTGCTCACGCTGCCACACACCATGCCTTTCTCTTGAAAAATATGACCTGCTCAAGTTCCCCAGTTACTATTCTACAAGCGCAGTGTCTCATGAAACTCACAGCTCTGACGTCAAACGAAAAGAGCTGTGAACATGCAGTGGTGAACTGTGGAATAAATTATTGATAAAACCACAAGGCAAATTAGTTCTGAGCCTTCCCGTATTCCTGTTCAAGCGATCAGCTAAGTTACATTATCCAGGTAAAATGACTTGTTCTAACAGCCAGGAAGCATCTTTAGGTATATCTAAGTGTAAAAAGCATTGAGACACCACCAGAGCCTATCTTCTATTGAGGGAATGCTGAACATGTCACAAAACATGTAGGAAAGTGGATTGTAAAACCTATCTACAATTCTGTATCAGAAAGTTGATACAGTGACAAAAATGCGTGAAGCCAGGGGCAAGCTCTCTAAAGTTGCTTCAGAGCATTCTCATTTTCCAACAAAGTAGTATCAAACTGAGGTAAACAGCAGAAGAAATGTTTTCATTTCAGCTACTACCAGAAAGACAAAAAGGGGAAAAAAGCTTTCACAGATCTCAAGGGCACCAAAAAACTTCTCTGATGACAGATGTATTAGCTATAGTTCAAACATCACTTTTCTTCTCAGTATGCATTACCCACTGCCAGCCACTCTGTAAAAACATCTATACACACTTCCAATATGACTTGAAAGAAAAAGCACCTCTTTATACAAAAACGCATTTCAAACATAAAGGATACAACTACACTGTATCCACTAAACTAGCAACACTGGATTTGTCAGAAAATGGACACTTAGTGACAACAGAATGCACTTTTCTGCATGGCCTGTACTTCAAATTTGCAACTTGTTCCTTGTGCCAAAAAGGTTGTCTTGTTACACACATCAAGCAAGCTTTTTTAACCAGTAATAATATGTCTAAGCTTTCAATGACCTAGATAAATCTTGAACAAAATCTTCAGGAAAAGAGTATTACCAGACTTGGTATTTCAGTAAGACTTTTCCTTTCCTTGGAAAAACCTAAATCTGCAAACTAAAACCCCACCTAAATGCGTGTCATAAATGGCCCTTAAGAGATCTATACTTACATTTGCTTGAACAATGACAAAATAACGAGTCTTTTCTTCATAATTTAGTCTTTCCCGTAGAACTACTGCTCCAGACAAAGTGAGAGGAATATCAAAGGTCTTGTTGGAAGTCTGCAAAAGTTAAAACAGTACGATAAAATTGAACATGCTTCAAAGCTAAGATACGTTTCAGATAGCCCACGACGAGATGATCGATTGGACAGCATACCAAAATTGCATATGCTTTCCAGATTAAGAGATTTTTAAAGTTTTCTATGTTTTCTTCGCACCCAATTTACTCCGTAAGAACCTCACAATAAATAATCTGTATGTAACAGAATTCTGATTCTTTACACACACATTATTACTTCCAACCACAAACTGAAGTCTAACCATCCTGCTTCTTGCAGATCTGCCATGCTGAATTTGCAGTGGTGCATTCAGAAAAGCTTTCGCTATTTGTCACCTGAGAGCTCAGATCTTGAGTTCCTACAGTTCGACTTGCCTTCATCTAATTTTTCCTCACCACTGCAGAAAGTATCAAGTATTAGAGATTAAGAAGTCTACATCATTGTACTTATCTTCTCTTTATTCTGGCTTTCATGAGGGCAATGAAGCAGTAAACACGTGAGAACTTCAACGCTACATACTTAGGTGCCAGTCCACAGCAGCAGTTATGCACATGTTCATACACTAGTAAATGCAGATTTCAGTGTAAATCAGGTGAAATTCAATTTGTCCTGCATACCTGCTTAAACAGATTCAGATTACAAAGCCTTGGCACCAAATGGCAGGAGGGTACTGCTGGGGTGCACACACCTTTAATGGATTCACTTTGACTAATGACCCACTTGGGAGGAGGATTACAGTCACAGAATCAGGTTTCTGACATGAGATATGGTTCAAGTTCTATTATGAAATTAATCACATTAAAAAAAAAATCTTTTCATGCTTCAATCTTCTAACGCAGACTATAGTTAACATTTAAGTATGTTGTAATACAATAATAGCAACAGCACCACAATATTCCAACATCTCTCCACAGAAACTGCAGAGGTACAGAGTACTATTCTTTCCTTAGATAATATAATAAGGCCTTTTTCTTCTAGAAGTTGAAACATCTGCTAAAATTGCAGTTTGTTTTTCCGCAAATAAATGATAATGATTGTTAAATTCACCATGTTGCAGATATTTGTGGAAAACAGGATTGAAAAGTACATCACAACCTCTGCTAAAAAACTTATGTCTGAGTTTGGCACTCATCTTTTTGGACAAAAAAAACATAGATCCAACTGGAAAAAAAAAATTTGATTCCAGTATTTATACTGAGGCAAAACAGTAAACTAGAACAGACTCTTAGTGTTGGAAGAGGGAAGAACCAAGTATGTTCACTGCTTCTG